GAGACGGGGTTTCACCGTGTTGACCAGGATGGTCTCGATCTCTTGACCTTGTGATCCACCCGCCTCGGCCTCCCAAAGTGCTGGGATTACAGGCTTGAGCCACCGTGCCCGGCCAATTTTTGTAGTTTTAATAGAAACCAGTTTTTACCATGTTGGCCAGGCTGGTCTCAAACTCCTGATCTCAGGTGATTTGTCCACCTTGGCCTCCCAAAGTGCTAGGATTATAGGCGTGAGCCACCATGCCCAGCCCCTTTTTCTTCCTTTCTTTCTCTTTCTCTCTCCGTCCCTCCCTCCCTCCCTTCCTTCCTTTTTTTTGAGGCTGGGTCTTGCTCTGTCACCTAGGCTGCGGTGCAATGGCACAATCTTGGCTCACTGTAACCTCTGCCTCCTGGATTCAAGCAATTCTCCTGCCTTAGCCTCCCAAGTAGCTGGGATTACAGGCGCGCGCCACCACGCCCAGCTAATTTCTGTATTTTTAGTAGAGACGGAGTTTCGCCACGTTGGCCAGGCTTGTCTCAAACTCCTCACCTCAGGTGATCTGCCCACCTCCCTGCTTCTCATTGAGGTCTCTATCAATCAGGTATCAGCACAGGGAAAGGGCTCAGGGCAGTGTGTGGCAATGGCGCTGTTTGCAGGAAGATGGCAGTAGGAGCGACCCTTTCTACATGCACTCAACACAGCCTAGTTAGGCCCCGGGCAGTGTGTGGGGACTTGCTGTGATCTTAGTTCCAGGTGCTCCTCCAGCTGGAGAGGCAGCCTATGGCTGATGACGGTGCAAGGCCAGATGTCCCCTTCTGTCTCTGTGAGGGCAGAGACGAGGTCTGTCTCTTGACCGTGTCCCCAGCACTTGTCACAGTGGTGCCTCTGGATCTGTTATGGGTCATTCAGCCATTAAATATCAAGCGCCCCTACAGCATACTTTATCCACTGGGGACAAAGTGAGGATAAAGCACCAAAGAAGGCCTGCACTCATGGGGACTTCCCTTTTGTTTATTTTAGACGGAGTCTTACCATGTCGCCCAGGTTGGAGTGCAGTGACACTTTCTCGGCTCACTGCAACTTCCACGTCCCAGGTTCAAGTGATTCTCCTGCCTCAGCCTGCCAAGTAGATGCAACTACAGGCGTGTGCCACCATGCCTGGCTAATTTTTTAGTAGAAGTGGGGTTTCACCATATTTGACAGGCTGGTCTCAAACTCCTGACCTCGTGGTCTGCCCTCCTTGGCCTCCCAAAGTGCTGGGATTACAACTGTGAGCCCCGCACCTGGCCCACTTATTTTATTTTTGAGACAGGGTCTCACCCTGTAACCCAAGCTGGAGTGCAGTGGCTTGATCTTAGCTCACTGCAGCCTCCAACTCCTGGGCTCAAACAATCCTCCTGCCTCGGCCTCCCAAAGTGCTGGGATTACAGGCCTCAGCCGCCAAGCCTGACCAAGCTTCACTATGTTTTCCCTTTTTTTTGACACAGGGTGTCACTCTGTCAACTAGGCTGGAGTGCAGTGGCTCAGTCAGGGCTCACTGCAGCCTCAGCCTCCTGAGTAGCTGGGACTACAGACGCACACCACCACACCTGGCTACTTGTTTTGTATTTTTGTAGACTCGGGGGTTTCTCAGTGTTGCCCAGGCTGGTCTTCAACTCATGGGCTCAAGTGATCCACCCACCTCAGCCTCTCAAAGTGCTGAGATTATAGGTGTGAGCGATGGCACCCGGCTGAGCTTCACTTTTGCCAGGAATGGGGATGATGAAGCCTGGGAGCATCCCGGTCTAGGGGAGCCCAGGCCCCTCAGCCTATCTTCTGATGCAGCCACAACTGCCCGGGCCACCTCTCCCACCCACTCACAGAACCTCTGATTAGAAGGCCTCTCCAAGGCCATGCTATAGAGAAGGCAAGCAGAAAGAGTATCCACTCTTCCAATCTGATTTTATTGAAAAGGAAACATACAAAAATCATGTACAAAAAAAATTAACCAAACATGTACAGAAAATTCATTCCGGTATCTACAGCAGCGCATATACAGTATCTTACAGGCTGGCCATCCCTCCCCGCTCCCAGACTCCTCCCTCTTCCGAGATTTCCCCCCCTCCCTGACTCCCCATCTTCCCCCCAGCGCTTGGCCCTGGGGACTAAGGCTGGGGCGGCTTCAGCCAAAATCTCCCACCCCCCAAATGAATGCCAGTGGTCACACGTGCTCTCTCTAAACCTATGCAATGGGATTGATGGGGCAGGGGGCGGTTGCGGGCAGAGCACAGGATTCACAGTCTGGGCCCCTCCTGGCCACCCCCCCCCCGATGAAGGTGAGGCAGGCATGCCCACCACCTGCCAGCTGGCTCAGGGAAGATGGCTGGGCGCCGGGCTGGAGCAACCGGCAGACGCGCCCCACTCTCTGGCTCCAGGAGGCTAGTGGTCACGTTTGGCTCATTTGCTCTTCACGGGCCCCCTCCCAGGAGGAGGGGGGGAAGCACCAGGGGCCTGAGGCCAGGCCCAGAGTGAAGGAGCACTGAGAGGAGAGCCCCCCAGTGTCACCCCTGCAGCTGGAACGGGCACCAGCACAGCAGCCTTTCCTGAGATGGTGGTGGGCAGCAGAGGCGGGCGGCTCAGTCCCCACCCCCTCGGTCACCGCCGCCTTCCGATGCTGAGTCCGTCAGCCCTCCCTTCCCTAGCATCTGGGCCAGGGACCCAGGAGTCCACATCTCCGTCAGTGCACCCAGGCTGGGCTGGGGCTGGAGTGGCTGCCCCGGCCCGCCCCTGGGACAGGCAGGGCTGGGAGTCCAGTATGCTACATGGTGCAGAGAAAGTCCCCCGCGCTGGCCAGGGTGTCAGGAGGTGGGAGGGGCCTGCCCCCCGAGTCCCTGACGTCCACCGGGCAGGTGCAGGCACCTAATTGGGCTCCATCTCGGGGGCTCTGTGGCCCCTGGGAAAGGGCAGGAGTCCCATGATGAGATTGTACAGGACCCTCCAGGGCGAGGGGCGGTGCTGCGGCTGCTCCTCTTGTCTCTGGGGAAAAGAGAGAGAGAAGGGGCAGTTAGCAGGGTCCTGAGTGTGGTGACAGGAGTGGGGACGGTCAGCTCCAGAGGAAGTGAGGCAACAGTCTCGCCCACCCTATTCCAGCTCCTCTGCCTACCTCGGGGTCACAACCTCATCCAGGACATGAGACCAGGAGGCAGAGGACAGAGATGAAATACCCTCAGCAGAGAGCCGGGCACCAATCGAGTGCCCAGCACATGTTAGCTGTGACCGCCCCGTCCCTGTTGTACATTTGGGAAAGGCATCCCACAAGGGGCTGAAGGATGAACTGCAACCTATCCTGCCCCTCCCTGCAGGGCGGCGAGATGAGGAGAAAGGAGCAGGGTGCCCATGAGAACTGAGAAGAGTTCAGCCCCCACTGTAGAGGTTCTTTTTTTTTTTTTTAACAGTCTCGCTCTGTTATATAGGCTGGAGTGCAGTGGCACAATCTCGACTCACTGTAACCTCCGCCTCCCAGGTTCAAGGAATTCTGCCTCAGCCTCCCAAGTAGCTGCGATTACAGGCATCCGCCACCCTGCCCAGGTAATTTTTGTATTTTTAGTAGAGACGGGGTTTTACCATGTTGGCCAGGCTGGTCTCAAACTCCTGACCTCATGATCCGCCTGTCTCGACCTCCCAAAGTGCTGAGATTACAGGCGTGAGCCACCGTGCCAGCCAGAGGTTTCAACAGAAGCACTTCTAGGCAACGCTGAGTGAAACCCCTGCCCGCTCTCCAGTGACAGGATGAAGACAAGGTGGTCTCTAGGACCCTCTCAGCTCCAAAATGCTAGGAACTGGGAAGGCAGGAAGCTAGGTCCCAGGAAAGCCTCCTGGCTGGTAAAAATTAAAGGCAATACTGAAAAGTGTACAGAGGCCAGGCGCTGTGGCTTACACCTATAATCCCAGTGCTTTGAGAGGCCAAGGCGGGAGGATCACCTAAGGTCAGGAGTTCGAGACCAGTCTGGCCAACGTGGTGGAACCCTGTCTCTATTAAAAATACAAAAATGACCAGGTACGGTGGCTCACGCCTGTAATCCCAGCACTTTGAGGCGCTGAGACAGGTGGATCACTCGATGTCAGGCGTTCAAGACCAGCCTGGCTAACATGGTAAGACCTCATCTCTACTAAAAACACAAAATTTAGCTGGGCATGGTGGCACACGCCAGTAATCCCAGCCACTTGGGTGGCTGAGGCAGGAGACTTGCTTGGATCTGGGAGGCGGAGGTTGCAGTAAGCCAAGATCATGCCACTGCACTCCAGCCTGGGTGACAGAGTGACACTATGTCTCAAAATAAATAAATAAAAAGGCCGGTGAGGTGTCTCATGCCTGTAATCCCAGTGCTTTGGGAGGCCGAGGCAGGCAGAATCAACTGAGGTCAGGAGTTCAAGACCAGTTTGGCCAACATGGTGAAACTCCGTCTTTACTAAAACTACAAAAATTAACCGGGTGTGGTGTAATTCCAGCTACTTGGGAGGCCGAGGCAGCAGAATTGCTTGAACCCAGGAGGTGGAGGTTGCAGTGAGCCAAGATTGAGCCACTGCACTCCAGCCTGGGCAACAGACTCCGTCTCAAAAACAAACAAACAAAAAAAAGTGCCCAGAGAGCTGCAGTCCTCTGTCACTCCCTATAGCTCCACATCCAGGCTCTGTGCTAAGTGGGGACCACGTAACCTCCTCCCCTTCAGGTGCAGGATAAGGAGAAACTCACTTTACAGACGGTTACATGATCCTGATCATCCTCATGGTTAACCTGGCAGTGAGTCGCCTGGTACCAGCCCAGCCTCCTCAACACTCCCTAGCAACTCTTGGGGCCAGGCGATGGAGGCAAAGGGTACACATCATATTGGTGTAAGTTATAAAACCCACCACTGTCACACTGCTGTGGGTGCCACATGGTGAGCAAGCTGGCATTCACCTAGTGAGGTGGACGGTGAGCAGATCACCTAGGTATCTAATCTAGAGACACAAGAGCGCATCTGGAAATATGCATGATTGGGACAGGAAAAAAGCCAATAAATAATGGTCGTGTGCAGTGGCTCACGTCTGTAATCCCAGCACTTTGGGAGGCCGAGGTGGGTGGATCACCTGTGGTTGGGAGTTTGGGATCAGCCTGGTCAACATGGTGAAATGCTGTCTCTACTAAAAATACACAATTTAGCCAGGTGGGGTGGCAGGCACCTGTAATCCCAGCTACTTGCAAGACTGAGGCAGGAGAATCACTTGAACCCAGGAGGTGGAGGCTGCAGTGAGCTGAGACCGCGCCATTGCACTCCAGCCTGGGCAACAAGAGCAAAACTCTCAAAAAAAAAAAGCCAATAAATAAAATTTGAAATATATTTAAAAATAGGCTGGGTAAGGTAGCTCAGGCCTATAATCCCAGCACTTTGGGAGGCCAAGGCAGGAGGATCACTTAAGGCCAGGAGTTTGAGACCAGCCTGGGTAACACAGCAAGACCAGATGTCTACAAAAAATAAAAAATTAGCCAGGTATGGTGGGCCTGCCTGTGATCCCAGCTAGTTGGGAGGCTGAGGTGGGAGGATCCCTTAAACCCAGGAGTTGGAGGCTGCAGGGAGCTGTGATGGCACCATTGCACTCCAACCTGGGAGACAGAGTGAGACCCTGTCTCTAAACATAAAAAAAATACATAGCTATCCTAAATATCCATCAGTGAGAAAATAAATAAAGATACTATGTTTATCCAACAGAATACTATGTAGCCATGAAAATAGCTTTTTTTTGTTTTTTTGTTTTGAGACAGAGTCTCATTCTGTTACACAGGCTGGAGTGCAGTAGCCCGATCTCAGCTCACTGCAACCTCCACCTCCTGGGTTCAAGTGATTCTCCTGCCTCAGTCTTGCAAGTAGCTGGGATTACAGGCATGTGCCACCATGCTCAGCTAATTTTTCTATTTTTAGTAGAGATGGTGTTTCACCATGTTGGCCAGGCTGGTCTCGAACTGGCCACCTCAAGTGATCCACCTGCCTCGGCCTCCCAAGGGACTGGGATTACAGGGGTGGACCACTGCACTCGGCCAAAAATGGCTGGTTTTTTTGTTTCTTTTTTTCGATGGTCTTGCTCTGTCACCCAGGCTGGACTTCAGTAGCCCCATCACAGCTCACTGCAGCCTCGACTTCCCTGGCTCAAGGGACTCTTTCACCTCAGCCTCCCAAGTAGCTGGGACTACGGGCCCACGCCTCCACATCCGGCTATTTTTTTTTTTTTTTTTAAGAGACGGGGTTTTACCATATTGGTCAGTCTAGTCTTGAACTGACCTCGTGATCCGCCTGCCTCGGCCTCCCAAAGTGCTGAGATTACAGGCGTGAGCCACCGCACCCCACATTTTTGTATTTTTTTTTTTAATATAGCGACGGGGGTCTCATTATGTTGCCCAGGCTGGTCTGGAACTCCTGGGCTAAAGCGTCCTTCCACCTCCGCTTCCCAAAGTGCTGGGATTACAGGCGTGAGCCACCGAGCCTGGCTAAACATGGATGGATGGAAGCTCTTTTGCCCATAGGATGAATCTGAAGCCTAATATTGTGAGAAAAAGGAATTCTGGGGAGGAACAAACACTGTGTCATGGACGCTAAGCTAAGAATGCCCCATGATCCTAAGCACTGTTTCTGGCCTGGTAAATACAGAGTAAAAGCAGCAAAACCTGCAGGGGATGAGCGCGGGCAACTTAAGAGGTTTCCCTTGGATGCAAGGAGGGGGAAGGGATGGGAGAGTGAGGAGCTTCACCACATGCTTTTCTGCGGTTTTGTTTGGCTTTTTAATAAGCAAGCAATGGGGGTGTAATGTTCAGCCTGAACAGAGCAGGCTGGTGGGCGCACGATGTTTGTGATTTCCCATTCTCTGCTGTGGGCCTCGGATATTTGTTTTAAAAAATCTGGGCCGTGCCACGGGCTGGGGGGCGGGGCCTCCCGCAGGGCGGAGCTCCAGGCCCTCCCCTGCCCTCCCCCGGCCGCCCCGGCTGTCCCCGGCCCGCCCCGGCGCCCGGGAAGCTGTGTGGCGCTGCGGGCCGCGCGGGAGGGACGGCAGGGGGCGGGCGCGGCGCGGCTGCTGACTCACCGGCTATAAATAGCCCGGGATATATGAGCCGCGCCGCCCAGCGCCGCCCTCAGTCCCCGCGGCCGCGGGCCACGGGCGCGCCGCTGCTCTCCGCTGCGGCCTGGTTCTCGGGCCCCGGCCCCGGCCCCGGCCCTGGCTCGGGCTCCGGCTGTGCCATCCGCGTCGCGGGGCCCAGGGGCGGCTCTGCGGGCGCGCGATCCCCCACCCACTCACCCCCACCTGCCTGTCCCCGGCGCGACCCAGCCGCGCAAGGGCAGCAGCTGCCGCACATCTGGCGGGGGCCGCCTGCCGCCCCCTCCTCCGGCGGGAAGTCCCACCTGCCGTCTACCCCGCCCCCAGCACTCACCCGCCGCTCGTACTGCGCGTTGAGGTCGTCCGCCATCCGCTGCAGCTGGGCCCCGATCTCCCGGGCCCACTGCTCCTCCTCCCCGCGGACTCCCAGGGCCGCCTGGGTGGGACCGCCCGCCAGGGCCCCCGGGGCGCTGGGCACGGGCGACTCCAGGTGCTGCTCCGCCAGCGAGAGCGAGGGCTGAGGACCTTGGAGAGGCAGAAGGGCGCGGTCAGCACCCACCACCCCTCTAGGCCTAGAGGTGTCCCGGGCTGCTTCCCTGTTTCCCAGCCACTGCTCCCCGCCTCATTTCTAGCGATTCCTTCTTCTCTTAGAGTCAATTTCTCAGCTTCTCCTCCCCAGGCACCAGAAAGCAGGAAGGACCTGGGGACGCCGCTCTGGGGTCACCTGTTTGGCCAGCTACGTCCCCACGGCCCATGTCAGTGTGGAAGGCAGGCGGCCAGAGAGGTGACCCTAGGGGGTGGTCAGGCCTAAGGACCTCTATTCCCCCACGGGGCCATGTTTTGCCTGTTCCGTGTGACAGGCAGGGAAACTGAGGCCCGCACTTAGGGAGTATCCCAAGGTCACACAGGGATACAGCGACTGACCCCACCCAGACCACAAGCCTCAGGTCTCCAGCCCTCTCGAGTCCAACCACAGGGAAGCCACACCTCCGGATGTGGCAGAGGCCTGGAGACCAGAAGGCCAGAGACTGGCAGCTTCAGAGCGCCGGCCTGGGGGTGCTGGGACTCGGGAGAAGCCTTCCTGCCCCTCCCCCTTCTAAGCGCTCTAGGAGGCTCCGGCCCTCCGGTCCCACCAGGTCCGACCTGAGGGTTCCCTAAGACCCACAAGCAGGGCCTCAGTTTCCAGTCTGTGACCCTGGCCTTGAAATCGGTGTCCCTCTCCAGGGCTTCCAGGAACGGAGCTAAGGAAGTTTTCTCTTTCCTTACTACCCTCGGGCCGCAGGGACAGGATGGGGGATGGGAAACCAGGACACACTTTCCCGGGCTACAGCGCCAGCCGGCAGGAATGGGGCTCCCCGGGCACCACAGGGTTAACAGCCCATCAGGCAGGGGACCTTTAACCCTTCCCTCCCCAAGACTCCCCCCTCCCCGAGGGGACTTTCCCAACACAATGGCCCCGACTCCCTCTCTTTCCTCCGCTGGGACTGCGGAGAGGGCCAGTCCTGGCCAAAGAGATGCAAATAAAGGCAAAAGGACCCTCGAATCCTTCCCAGAGCCCGGAGGTGACGGTCCTCCCGCTCAGCCCACACTCCCTCCAACAAGAATCATCCAGGGGGGTCTAGGGGACCCAGACTGGGGGAGGGGAGCTGGGATGCAGCTGTTGCCCGAGGCCCGGAAGAGACAGTGGGCTGCAATTCGGGGACTGCAGTCAGATTCCAGGAGGGACTTCCCACTTGACCTCCCCCTCCACCCCCAGCCTCCGTCTTCCTGCCTCTTGCAACACAAAGACCACATTGGCCACACCCTCCCAGTGGCCCGGCTGGGCTCGCCACCTCCCCCCCGTCCACTCCCACTCTCCAGTTCCTCCGAGCCTCCGGGCCCCTCTCTTCCCGGCTGCTAGCACCCCGGGGGCGGGGCGGGCACTCACCGTCCGGGCGCGGGCCTCGGGGGCGGCTGCGGGGGCCCCCAGGCCAGCGGGGGCTCCCCAGGGCGGCGGTGACGGCGGGTGGGGTGGCGGGGGCGCAGAGGTAGGCAGCGGGCAGCAAGGCGGGGGCGGCAGGGGCGGCGGGCAGGCCGGACTCGCAGAGGCCGCAGGACACGGCCGAGGGCACCAGGCGGCCGAGCGGGAAGGGGCGCGGGCCGTCGCGGGCCAGGCCCTCTACGGGCTCCGGGGAGCTGCCCTCCTGGCGTGCGCGGGCCATGGCGCTCCCTGGGGCCTGCGGGACACGAGACGAGGAGCAGGTCAGCAGGGAAGTGCCGGGCCCACTGAACCTCCAGCCTCCCCAGGGTCAGGACCCAGATGGAGAAGAGCGGAGGTGTGTGTGCCGGCGGAGGGGGAGATGGCCCCACAGAGACACGCCCAACCAGGGGACGACACCACCGGGCTCCGCTGGCCTGGGCAGCCTCCCGGGCACACCGTGATGGGCACACAGGGGCCCAGGACGGCTCTCTCAGCAAGGACCGGACTCACACGGGACGGATGGAGGGTCTGGCAGGTGTGTGTATGAGAGCTGTGACAGTCCCACAGCACAAACTCACTCCACTTGGGACTCACAGCGGGGGCTGGTGGGCACAACTTTCCCAACACAGCTACGGGCACGCTGGGAGGGCAGCGAGGCACAGTGAGGCCCCCACAGCACACACACAAGGACTCACACGGGACTGGCCAGCCTGACCACCCACCCTACTTCCCACCTGCAGGCAAACACTGAGATGGCCCCAGCCTGGGACATCACTCCTCAGTCCACATGAGATACACACACACACAACCCGACCAAAGCAGGCACATGTAGACAATCACAAGCACTCTATACACAGCGCACGCTGGCTGGCAAAACCCATCCCCACACACACATCCAAACTGTCAAAGTCTCACACACTGACCTACTGTTGATATGCCCAGGGGCACACGCAAACACAATGCAGCCATTGCAAACACCCCCCCCCACACACACACACACACGCACAAGCTAGGCACTGCCTCAGTTCCCAAACATGCCCCTGTCCAGACACACACACAGACACATACACTCCAGAGATAAGACCTGCACACCTCGGGACTCACATATCAACACCAAACACACCCACAGACACACATCAACACCCCCAAAACACACCCACATGTCACCAACTCAGGACACACATAAATAAGGCACACACAGACACATGCCATCAGCCCCTGACACATCACCAGACACCAGGCGGGCTACGGCCAGCAGACACCAACCCACCCTCTTCATGCAACCCCCAAACACCATCAGCAACTGTCAGCAACACACACACACACACACACACACACACACACTCTACAGCTAACTCAATCCCACACAGCCCAGCAGCACACACACCTAGCGCACCCACAGAGAACACTGGTCTCACGTGACTGACATAAACACTACACACACGCAGCCCACATGACACACATGAGCCAGCCGATCGCAGTGACAAGCCCCTCAGACCCAACACACACACAGAGGCTCAGACACAACCACATCCAGAGGCTGCCAGCAACATCCACCGTCTACACTGCATAGACCCCACAGATCCCGGGTCCTCAAATCCCAGACGCTGATGCCAGACACACAAGCCAAACCCAGACTAAGACAAGAGAGCCCCCCACCCCCCCCACACAAACACACACGCACACCTGACAACTGACACAGACACCTGGACAGAAAACAAACATCTGCATTTAGCAGGAGCAACATCACAAACGCTGGGCAAAGACACATGCCCCGGAGATACAGAGAGCCAGCCACAGCCAAGACACAAGCACACACACCGCACGGTGTGTCGGGCAAGACACACACATAAACACACAAACAGCGCACTCCAGCAACACACACACACTCCAGCCTCCACACCCCAGCACGCGCTGGCAACACAGACCTCCAGTCTCACCCCGAAGAGCACATGCAGACAACTCTCACCGAGAACACACACAGGTCCACCCACTCCACGGGCAGGGCACCCACAGACAGAATCCCACACAAACAGGCGCGGGGACTCACGCAGACACCCCGACGGGTCAGAAACCCCAACATTCCTCCGGATCGACACCTCCACTCCCTGCAGAGCCCAGCACAAACTCGGAGCCAGACGCGCGCACACACCCAGGCGAGACACCTGCAGATCCACAACCCCGCACACGCGCGCTCCCACGGCGGTCCCAGACGCCCCACTCCGCTGTCACAGCCACCCCCACCGCCGCCACGTGCGCCCGCCCCGCCCGCCAGGCGAGCGCGGGGCCAATAACCGGCTGTTGCTGGGGCGCAGCCCCCGCCCGCAGGAGCCGCAGACTCCACGGCCCGCGAGCCGCCCCCTGTCGCCGCCCCCAGCGGGCGCGCGCCCTGGGTGTGGCCGCCCCTCCGTGCCGCCCCCCCGCCCCTCCCGGACTTTGGGGGCTGGGGCACCCCGGGGTCGACCCTCTTCCCCGGGGTCGCACTGGCCGCCAGGGGGCGCTGCCGAGCCCGCACCCCATTGTTTGTAAACAAACCCGCCAGACTGCCGAGGCACCTGTGCACCCAGACCTGGCGCCCCAACGCCGAGCCGCCTCCCTACCCGCGACCCCAGCCCAGGGTCCCTCGTGGGGTTTGGGGGGAGGCGCGGTGTGGGGAGGCAGGGCGCAAGCACTGCTCGCCGCCTGCACTCCTGTCACCTCCTCCAGGGAGCCCACCTGGCCTGGCCGATCGCGGCCGGTGAGGATTCGGGGCGCGCACACTCACCCCGGGGGCATGAACACGCCGGAGGGGGCAGCGGTGGGGGGCGGGCGGCTTCCTTCAGGAGGGCGCGCCCGCCAAGCGCCGCTCTCCGCGGCGGCTGCTGCTGTGGCTGTTGCTGCTGCTGCCGCTCTGACTGCAGTGGCGGCGGCTGTGGCTGTGGCTGCCGCTGCTCCCCGGGCCGCAGGCGCGTCCGCGTCGTGGCCGCCGCTGCTGGGATCGTTGGTGCAGCCGCCGCCGCCAGGCACCCGCTCGCATGTGGTTCGCGCCGCGTCTCAGGCCGCCCGGCGGATCCCGGGCCCGCTCCGAAGCCGCCCCGCCCCGCCCCGCCCCGCCCCCGCCCGGCGGGTCCCACGCCCCGCCCCCGCGTGACGCCACAGCCCCGCCCGCCCGCCGCGGACAAGTCGGGACTTGCAGGCGCGCGCCGCGCCCCCCCTACCTCCGCGCGGGGGGTTTCCCTGCAGCCGGGGACGGGGCAGGGCCTGGCCCGGGGCGAGGAGGACCCAGGCGCGGTGCGGCGGGGTGCGAGTTATCGCCCAGACACCGGGACAGTAGGACCCACAGAGTGGGACCCACACATCCACAACCCCAGGGATACATACACAGACCGACCGACGGGCGCTCCAGGGTACACAAAGTCACGTGCAGGCAGAGCCCGAGGGGTGCACTCACAGAGACAAGGCCACAGTGTCACCAATGCACACCATGGACAGGGGCATGAACACACAGTCACACACTGCTGGGGCTCACACTTGCACACACCCAGACGCAAATGCACAGACTCACTAACAGGGTCCCCAGGACAAGCCGATGGACACAATGACAGGGCCACACACAGTGGCACAAACACCCACACTGATAATGACACCCGGACCCACAAACTGTGTTCACATACATCCCTACAGAACAGGCACCCACAGTGAACACAGTGGTGCAACCACACAGACACAGGCGGAGTGCTTATCAGGTAACACACACCTGCTGACAGGCACAGAGTGCACACACACACAGAGACACCCGTTACAGGGATACCTGGACACATGGCCAAATCCAAACCACACTCCAACAGGGACACACACAGACGCACTCACAGTTTCACAGCTAACACATGAAAACGATCAGAAACTGACATTTGGAGACACAGACCAAATCCAACATAGAGGAAACTGAGCCCCCCCACACACACACACACACATATCATGAAGCCACACCTGTGACAGCTTCTTGCTAACTGGCCCGCAGACTGCACACACGCTGGAGCATCCACACCTGGTCTCACTCACCACACATCTGGCAAGGAACCCACACCGAGGAAGAAGCCCTGGGCACTTGGCATGGACATGCCCAGGCAGACCCCACGCCACATTTCATCTTAGTCTTCCCTTCCCTTTTTCAGTTTCTCATTGTCATTTCCCTGACCGGCCCTGGGGTCCTTCCTTCTTCCAAAGCCCTGCACTCCTCCTCCTCTGCACTTTCCGTCCCTACTTGGCTCTCATCCAATCCCAATCACCTCACCAGAGTGACTCACCTTCCAGTGCCTAGTGTGGGGCTGGCTGAGAAAGGACGTCAGACTTCTCACACTTGACTGCTTCAGAGCCCACACCCTTACATCCCCCAAGAGAAGCAGGTAATCCACGTCTCTCATGAAATTTCACCGTTTTAAATATTGGAGACTCTTCAGCCTTCCTATCTCTTGCCCTTTCCCCAATTATTCATTCTCCCTTCCTTCTTCCTGGTGTTTTCCAAACTGTGGGTCATGAGTAAACCATGGATTATGGTATCACTTTGGATCTTACTTTTTTTTTCTTTTTGAGACTTAGTCTCTCGCTCTGTCACCTATGCTGGAGTGCAGTGGCTCAATCTCAGCTCACTCTGCACCCTCTGCCTCCCAAGTTGAAGCAGTTCTCCTGTCTCAGCCTCCAAGTAGCTGGGACTACAGGTGCCTGCCACCACGCCTGACTAATTTTTGTGGGTTTTTTTTTCCTTTTTTTTGAGACGGAGTCTTGCTCTGTCGCCAGGCTGGAGTGCAGTGGTGCAATCTCGGCTCACTGCAACCTCCACCTCCTGGGTTCGAGCGATTCTCCCGTCTCAGCCTCCCGAGTAGCTGGGACCACAGGTATGTGCCACCATGCCCGGCTATTTTTTGTATTTAAAGACGGGGTTTCACCATGTTGGCCAGGATGGTCTCGATCTCTTGACCTTGTGATCCGCCCGCCTCGGCCTCCCAAGGTGCTGGGATTGCAGGCATGAGCCACCGCACCTGGGCTT